CTGTACCATGTATGCAAGCTGTATAAGGCCTAGAAGGTTAAAGGTTCCTTACTCTTTTTGGCCTTTAAGTTTTCCAATCCTCAGCACTGACTGGCAGAATTCTGAACTGGAGGTAGGAGATGCTTCACATGCAACCACCTGCTGGTGGGGGCACTCTCCTAGGAGTGTGCCAGGTCTGTGTGGCAGGGGAGGCTGGTTTGGTGTCCTTCAAGCAATGGGAAACCTAGAATCCAATTTACTGTTGCCTCTTCAGCTACTGTTGAATAATGCAGTGTCCTAACTACTCTGCAGTGACATGAAAGTAGGCAACAAAAGTATGTGTCCCAAAGGAGGGGGAGATGTCCTTAACCCCTGCCAAGATTTAGTTCTAGAAAAGCTCTTAGGCAGGAGACGCAAATTTGTACCTGACCTAAATTTTGCCAAGGAGAGAGACAGACTGAACAGCAGTAAATGTCCTTCCATAACCTGCTTTCTAGGCTGTCGTAAATATGTCTCTGGTTCAAACTCTTAAGAAGGCAGGAGCTGTGGTGCATTTCTGTTGCCAGATAGTGCTGTTGGGGACTAAACTCTCTAGTTCATACATTCAACCATCTTTTTTAGTCAGTCGGCGTGATACCTAGCGAGAATAGCCATGTTCTGTTCACTGTTCTCGTGGGGCATAAATGGTTTCATGGAGGACAAAGTTCTAAAGAATTAGGTCAGTAGGTTTTGTATCTAATTAGGCCTCTAATCCTACAAACCACTTACAGTTTTGCATTATTATATGTTCATCGTGTCTTAAATGGAACTACTCATTTGAAGTTATGGGTGTAACTGCATGCAGGATTGTATCTGGGCAATCACATTTTAGCTTATTATTCATCCTGTAGCATTGTTGCAAAACAGATATATCTGATGTTACCCTTACCCAGTCAGGGTGAAGAGGTGAAAGGGTATCTGAAACTGAGTATGTTCCTGTGAAATGGCTTACACTCCATTATCATGCCTATCCAAACCAGGCACTTATAGAAAGGCACGTCATAGAGAGCATTTTAACTGTTAAGAGAGTCATAAGGCATAGATTTTCAATGCGGAAGGTCATGAGGCTGCAGTTTCACTGGATAATGTGCTGCATTTGCATAGACGGATATTCAGACAGTTAATGGTAGTGCAGAATGCTTTAATGATTTTCATTTGCATCAAGCTGTTCTCACCTCTTAGGAACATAATGGATAAATAAAAGAGGCCTTTTGTTTGCTCTTCATGAAAGTTACCAGTGATTAAGTGGTGCTGAGGGAACAGACTCATGCTCCTATTTGAAAAAAAACCCAACACCAACAGCACAACTGCCCGTCAAAGCTGGCTTCAAAGTGACCTACTTCATTTTGATTCAAAATGGCACTTGAGTAATTTATTTTAATGTTATGCAGATTTCCTAATTTAAAACACAGAACTAGTCACTCTTAACTGAAAATACAGAAACACTTATTACATCGGACATGAAATACTCATAATTTGTTCGGATACTCTTTACAGTGTTGAATTACAAACAAAGCTATATACACTTTGAACAGCTTTTCTTCCAAACGGGTTCAGCAGTCACTTTTTTTATTAAAAATTATGTCCAGAATAGTTGTGGGTAATATGATACTTTTTGCACTATGCTATGATGTTTCATAAGAAAATCCATGCCAGAGGCTTGCCAGAGAAAATCTTGTCATGATTTCAAACTAGAATCTCCCTGTGGAAGACTTTCCAAGCCTCCTGGAATTTGGTATATTCTCGTAAAGGTATACAGACTTCCACGCTATGTTTTGGACCTTGTAGTTCAGTATCAGATTCTTGGGCTCTTCTTTCATGCACCAGCTCAAAAGCCCCTTCTTGAAAAGGGCTTGAAGGAAGTTATCTTAGTCTCTGGCTTTGTTACAGTTTTAGGCATTTTCTGAATGATTTCATGTGCAGTTCAGTCTCTTTCATTGTAATCTTAAAAAAAAAAAAATCTGAGTGGCTTTTTGAGAATAAAACTCTGTTCTTAAATACATTCCAGTCAGAATGGTCATGTGTAAATTTTTGTTCCTCATTTGTAGGCACACCCCACAATTTCATTGCCCTGATTTACACATTGACACCTTAGTGCCAGTAGTTTTGTATTATATTTTCCTAAATGTGTTTGATTTTCAATTTTATGTGTCGCACTGAGAAGCACAGCCAAGACAGTCCACATTTCAAATACCCAAATTTCAGTAGTCTCCACTTTGGGTACAAGAGTGCAATGTTCTTGAGAACTGCTAGGATGAACAGGCTTTCAAATACTTGAGTCTTTTGTTTTCAGTTAATGACTTCCAGTTCTTTCAGTTTCTAACCTTCTGCCTTCCAGATAGTGATCTTTAGTACTTTTTGTGCCATTCAACTTCTCTCTCTCAAGCCTGTTATTTAAATCAAGATACAGAACTTGACTTCATGTATTTGGAATATTCTCCCTTTTCACAGAATCTGTAGGATAGTTGGAGAACGCAGAATATGCAAATGCAGACCTGCTGAATACATAATTTTTATGGCCCTTCTGTTTTGCATTGGCTTTGTTATTTGTCCAGTGTTTGACTGGGGGCTAATTGAATTACTGAATTTACAATGAGAATATATTAGTCCATCCTTCCCTTCGCTGATTTTCATTCTTTACCCCTCCAGTTAATTTTCTTTTAAATCTGCCTTTGTGTTCCCAGCGTGGCATGAAAGGACTAGTCAACAGCCTGAATACAGGGGCAGTTGAGGGTAATTTCCGTCTGCAATCAATCTCCCCAGTACAGGAGGAGTGCTGGATATCCTTACATGTACAATAAAGACGGGTGAATTCAGTGACCACTACCTGACCAGCATAACAATTCTTTAGCAATTTGTGGCAGGTTGGGACAGCCAGGATTTAGGATTACATCTAAGAAGAGGTTTGTGCATGCAAGGATGGAAGTATCCTGAGTTGGGAAGACCTGTTTGTAGGTATGTGTAATTTCAGTGTATGATAAGATGCAAAGTATCCTCACACATGAAAAGAAGATCCATTACTGACATTGTATCTCAGTACATGTAGATAAAAATGTATTTTATATGTATTATCAGTGTAGATTTTTTTGTATTTTGTGTGGTTACAGCCTCACAATGGCCTCAATCATCTTAATCTTGGTTTTTAGTCATGCACTTACTTGCAACACATGGAAATACAACTTACTAAGTATCTATGATTGAGGAGATATTCCAGAAACAAATCCTAGAAGTGAAGGTGAAGCATTGTAGCTGATTGTGACAGAATTGCAGAAACTCCTTGCTGTACTGGGAAAACTTTGTTCAAAACCAAGAATGTTCTTATGGTTTTAATTGAGTGGCAGAAAATTACTTCTGTGTGGTCATCCCTGCTAAGAGATTCTTTTAAACCAACATTTTCCATTTTTCCTTGTTTATTTCTTTTTTGGCTAGTAGTTGCCTCCATGAATTGGATTTATAAATTATGAATCTGAGGAGAATAAAATGTTTTCTGGAGAATTTGATCCAGATGTATATTACTGTTTCAATAAAAATTATTTTAGTATTTAGGGTGAAGAAGGTTTTTTGGGGATTTGGGGGTTTGTTTGGTTTTGGTTGTTGAGTGGTTTGTTTGTTTGTTTAATTTTTTTTTTTTTTTTTTAATATCTCAGTTACCTTAGAAGCAGCCAAATTCTTACTGTGTAAAACTACAGAAAAGTCTATAGTGTTTCAGCAGGGATTCGTGTGGCCCTTGGGTTTTTGGACTGGATCCTGTTGCAAGCTCCTAAAATAAGACTGTTTGGAAAGCTACCGGCATCCCATCTTTTTGTCTGGAAAAGTTATAAAATGGAACAGGCAGGCTTTTCACTGAGCTGCTGAGAATGCAGTTCTGGCTATGCAATCAGGACTAAATAAGGAGCAAGATCTGCACTAAAAATAGAAACGGAGGCTGATCCAACTGCAGCGTGAGCTATAATCCTCACACAGCAAAGGGCTGGTAAGTTCAGCCGAGGACACACAGTTACAGAGAATCAAACAAACTTCACCCTACTCCTAAAAATCCGTTGTACTCTAACCAGATTTTTACTAGTCAGCAGAACTATTAATCATGCCTCCAAATTATTTAACATGTTTTTTTCAGATGCAGATTTTTTTTTATTATTATTTTATTAGAGAGAGGATTATATTTGCCACATAGTAAGAGGGAAATATGGCTTGAGTTTATGTAACTGTGTTTGAAGAACATGGAAGAAAATGACAGAGAGAGATTTACTGCACTTTTTCTCTCAGCTGGATAAATACATTCTTATCACTGCTTTGTGCATCAAGCCGATGTGTCCACTGACATGATGTGCCACCATTTGGGCAGGATGAGCTGATCTGAGTATCTGGGCAGGCCTGGGCTCTTTTCACAGACTGTGCAGTTCACAGCATGTGCTTCCTTCAAGAACTAAGTACAGAACTGTGTAGGTCATTCCTGTACCCTCCCCTCCTCTTTGTTGGTAAAATAGGTCAGAACATATTTACCTTTTTTTGTGTATTTCCTTTCAAATAACACATACCTCATAAGCTTAAGCCAAAAGTTGCCCAGGGACTTCAAATATATCCTTTGATACAGACTAGATTGCTATTGTTTATTGTTAGGAACATTTGGCTATTAAATATTTGGATTACATGAGCACAGCCAGCTACAGCTATGTTCTGCTTGCTTCCTTTGCCTGTTCCTGTATCTCTCTAGTCAGTGATACAGCAAACATGAGCAGTCTTTCTGTTACTTAGTATTAAAAGGCAGAGATTCTGTAATGGACCTTGATAATTTGTCATAGAAATTCAATTTCTCTAAATATGATTACGTACGAAAATTTTAAAAAATAATAGACACCAAATCACTCAGCTACTAACTAAATGTTTAAAAATATTTTAATGAAATTTTAGTTTTCAGTGAGCTGCAGAATTTGTTACTGAAAACGTACACTGTTCATGTATCTCTTGCCTGTTAATCACAGGAGCTGCTCAGTCAAATTGGAAGACGGTGGAGGAGAAACATCTGGTTCGTTGAATGCATGGGAAAGCTTACATAGCAGTGGGAGTAAGTGGAAGAAGACCAAAAAACAGAGATCATCAAATGCACACAGGCAAATAACAAGGCAAATAAAGCACACAGTGTCAGTGAGTCACAAATCAATTGGCTTGATTGCATTTTCTTTCCTCAGCTCTCTCCCCACCATAATATGAACTACAATATTCCCTGTTTCCAGACTCCTATCCCAGCACCGCTATCTCCTCTCTTCCATGTCCCATACTGAGTGCAAAGCTTAGCAGAAGCTGTGAGCAGCTGCCTCACAGAAAGGCAAGCTGATCATTACCATCTTGTTGCTGGGGAGGCAACAGCCTCATTCTCCAGCTGAGTTCAGAGGCCTTTTTCTTGTTTTGTTGTTGTATTCTCATTATTTATGCTTGTATTTGAAGATGTATATTTTCTGGTGGAAAAAAAATGGAGTGAGCGCAGTCCAAGAGGCATAGAGAAGGGAAGTTGGTTGATAATTGTTGTGAGTGCTTTACAGTGAAATATGTGTATCATTTTGTTTTGGTCACATTCAAAACTTACACTGATTAATTGTCTAATTTTTCAACGTAAGCTAAGTCTCTGCAACACTGTGTAGGGTTTTGCATTAGTTTAACACACTAGTTTTCATGTAGCATTAGCTATTTGAAAGAAATAATTTGGTGTAATAAAAGCAATATAAGCCTGAAGTGCAGATACAGTAATTTTAGTGAATGTATTAAAAATGAATTTATTAAATGCTTCTATCAGCTTAGTGATTACACTTAAAAATTACACCCAATCCAACAAAGAGTTGCTAAAATTATATATGGAAAGACAAAAATCCTTTTAATAGCATATTTTAGACAACTGAAGGTTGCACAAAGAGAAGGTGGCATTACTTGAGCTCACAGGTTCAGCCCAGCTAGAGTCTTACACGAACGTCATATCAGTTTACAGTGAGTCTAGTTCTAGATTAGAAAACAGTGTAACTGAAATGTTAAGAGATAACTCCAAAACTAAATATGAACAGGTGTGAAAATCTATCTTAGTTGCCTCTTCACTATTAATTCTGAATGTAATAAAACCGTGGAATACTTTTGTGGGTCCTTACACATGCAGAATGAATGAATTCAATTAAGAATTTTTTCTTAAAGAGGGTGTTTGTTTTTTGTCGGAGCCCTTTTGAAGTACAAGGGGAGGTCACAGCTGTTCTTTTCATTCACATTTAGTCTAGTAAAATAAACAACATATGTATGGGGCACAAGAGTTTAGCACTCAGAACATAGGGATTTGTATATGATTTTGAAAACTGTAAATAACAAATTATGCTTAACCTTTATCCCACCTCCCATCAACCTGATTTGTTAGTACCGATTTGTGTTAGAATTGAGGTTTTCATATGTTACATTGTTCAGAAAAATAAAAATTCTCTCACAAAACGCAAGATAGCAAGGTACACATTTACATTCTCAGCCTTAATTCCAATTGTCATAAGTCTTATAGATTTACATAATTACTGTATTTGCATAATCACTTAAGACCTTGATCTGTGCTCCAATGAAAACAGACCTGAAACCTTTTTGAAAATCTTACTTAACCACATTTTGTACTGCGAGGGTAGCAGGACTGACCTCAGATACGGGCATATTTCCATTCCCTTAGAGCATGTTGGGTACCTGAATGAGTTTGGTGGGTTAATTCAGTAGCACCCTCATGGTCACAAGCAGTCTGAGGATGGTCCTTGCTGCCATAATGTATCTGGAATGGATAAGGCTTGGAGAGGAGGATTATACCATGCTTACTTCTGGTCCAAAGGACTTTTGATTCCCTTACAGTGTAGACACAACTGTGGTGGTCTCATTTACCCCCAGAGATGGAGCTTTCAAATAGTGAGGATAAAATAACAAATCCCAAGTGCATCACTCAGTTTCTTACAAGTCAAGTGGAAAGAATAGCTGAATATTCCACAAATACAAATCAACTCATTCCTCTATTTTTTTTTTAATTTTTCCTGTCAGAGACAGTGAGCTACAGAAACCCATCAATTTGCACATGGTCACAAGGAAATTTGCTTTTGAATCAGGCAGTAAAATTCCCTTTGACTTCCCCAGACCACAGAACCTTACCTCTCATTTTACTCTAAAAATTCCGTCAATTCAGGGGAATTGTGATTGCTAGACTGAAACATTAGAAAGCAGGCAAGTATTTCAGTGCAGAATAGGTGGTTGCTATTCTGTTATATGAAAGGAGAAATGAATTTCCTGTGGGAAATGGGTTACTCATAGGATATAGGCTAGTTCTTGACATCTCACAAGTCATGACAGAAAGCTGTCATCTGATAGTTTTTGGATGACCTCTTTACAGTTAAGTCAGACCCTTAAACCAGTTTCCAGTAGACAAATACCAAAGCAGAAAAGTCATCATGATTGTTAGCAATCTTCTTATATGGCTTCATGTCAATAGTGTGAGAATGTGGCATTACTCTCTGTGCCAGGAAGAAATTAAATTATGGCACTTGCATAAAATCTTCATTTTTTGTATTGTGCTTAGTCTGCAGAATATCTGGTTAAAAGATTTCAGCAGATATTCCTCTTCAAAACACAGATGGGAAATCAAAAACTGTTGAAGGCATCTTCTCCAAATAGAGTTGTCCTGAATGGACATCTTCACAGCACAAGTCAACAAGACAATTATTTCCTTGTTCCAGGGACAGCTGTTTCCTTTTTTTCTTTCCTGTCGGTCCTTCTAATCCCCAGATTACTTGGCAAAATCAAGTAAGACTCAGGAAAAGTAACCTTTTTTATCATTACTTGCCAAAAGAGTCCTGGTTTCCAGATGTCCTGAGTAGATTGACTGCAGAACTAATAGACTTCCAGCATTTGGAACCACCAAAAGGAATGGTTTGGTATCTGAACGTAAAGTGGTTCTCTCTCAGCCAGCATTCTGGATGGCTGATAAGAATAGGAAGTGCTACTTTTCATTCAGTCTTGCAGAATGGTAAGAAGACCTCATTGAGGTAAATCTATTTGGCAAAGAAAATGAGATTTTCCTCCTAGACCCATGAAGTATCTTGAGTACATTTAATGAATTGCACTTTAAACTATCTTCTGGCTTTGGAGCAGTGGTCAGTCCTGAAAGGCTGAAAGAAGCTGCACCTTCAGCAATCTATATCCAGTGGCTTCACCCACCTCACTAGATTGTTCAAGGTTCTTTAAGTGTCCAGCCAAGGTAAATATTCTAGTTCTCCCATCTCAGATTGGAACCTGTCTGGACCCATCAGCTCCCAGAAGTCCCTATCCTTGACAAAAATTTTATGCCTTTTTGTCAGATAGAATAACCTTCTGAAGGCCATTGCTCCAGTGACAAGAGAGATGGAAAAGTACAGCTGATCCCTCCCTTCTGAACGGATACAGAGCACTTAATGGAATCCTCTGATTTCTGCTGATGGTGGTTATGGAGCTCCATCTGAACTAGAAAATTCGTCTTTCTGTATTTTGCTATTGGAGACAGTCATCTTTCCACACTTGGGATGTAACAGGTACCCTCTTAACTACAAAAAGTGAAGTATTTTAAGATACTCACTCGACTTTTCCAACCTAATTATATTGCAGACTGCAAGTCTGTTTTAAGATTGTTATGGCAATTCCAGGTAAACCGTTAGATCATACCCTGTCAGAGCAGCATCTGTGCTGACAATTTCAGCAAGAAAATTATTTTTCGTAGGCATCTACAGAGCATCATCCTGAAGCTCTGTCTTCCCAATTCAACAGATGTTACATATATTAATAACTCTTGATGGGTTACAACGTAAAATGTCGTTCCAACTGCAACCTCTCAAAAATCTCAGTCTGCCACGGAAGAAACTAATGATTTTTATTGCATATACTGCAGTGGAAATACAGATATACACTGCATGTGCTGGGAGGAAAACAAAAAGTGATTTACCCATAAGTAGGAATCAGTGCTAGATGTGCACATATCGCACACAGCCCCCATTCTCTTTTTGTTGCACTCCTGCACCCTTGGGATTCTTATACACATGAGGTGCACTGAGTGTGCTATTGCCCAAATTAAAATCTCAAGGTGCCTCAAGGCTTACATGTGCCATATAGCTATATCAGGCCTTGCAGTCCCATAAACAAACGTGGAAATCCAGCAGATAGACATATATACCTCTCATTGAACTCCTAGTGCCATACTGTAAGTAACTTTCCATTCAATGAGAGGAATGACAAGCTTTCCTACAGGTTCCTTTGCAGTGAAAGTAGCATTACCAGGTAGCATAAGCATGTTCAGTCATACAGAGGATAAAGTAATTTTCAAATGCACACACTGTGTGAGTACCTGAACAAACCATACGTGAAGTAGTGTGAGTTACTACCTTTAAGATACTGTCCTTAAACTCCAAATTTCAAAACATATAATGGAGCGCGGCATCAATAAATAGCTTTTTTTAAAGCTATATCTGCACAGTGAGTGTACAGTTCTACTGTCATGTATAATATTTAAGAACACAAGTAAAATTACCCACAAATATCACCAGGCAAACTGTTATAAGACAATGGTAAGCCATCATCCCTAAAAGCAAAAACACAGAGAAATCCAGAATGAAATAAAAATTGGCAAGAGCGCGTGAACATTTGCTCTCAAAGAATTCTGTACATTTCCGAATCACAGCCAAGCAAAACACAGGTAGACATCTGTCTGCAATCTGCATAGTTGCAGGATGTGTCTTCTGCCAATTCATCCCTTAATAATGAGCATTTCTGTGCAATCATATTATTGTCATACCTTATATACAGTGGCTTAAACTTTTCAGTATCTCATAAATAACAACAGTAAACTAAACTGGGGATTAGATAGTGTGAAACCTGATAGAAAAATAAGGATTCAGGAGACTATACAAAAAATTATAAACAAAACAAAACAAAACCAAAAAAACCCCCAAACTGGGAAAACGAGAGAAGAGCAGAAGTGGAGCAGAATAATAAACTCTGAGGGAAGAGTCAATGCCAGTAAATGTAATATTCTACTCTCAAGAAAAAAAAAAAAAGTGAAGCAGAGATGGAAACAGGCGGGCACGTTCATCCAAACCCATTATAGGAAATCAAGACAACTGTTCCTCTTTTGTTCT